TATAGCTAGGCCGAACATAGCTGTGCCATCCAGTGTCGCCAAAGGGCAGTACAGTGGTGGGCAATGTCAGCTAGACAAGCAAACCATAGCCACGTGAGATCAACATTTAAAAATAAGGCTCTAGTTACCACTTGAAACAAGCTAAGCTTTAGATATTAATAGAAAACAACTCAATTCATCATCCATGCTTATGTCTAGCAATCATCACACATAAGCATATAAGTATTTTAAACTATGCAATGTAAGCAATCATATGTTAGGCACAACACAAATGCATAAAACGATCATATTCGTGAGCTTGCTCCCCCTACTTGTGTGCTTCTTTTGTTCAAAAATTTGATCACCATGTGTTTTTCAATCTTGCATTTTCTCCCCTTTATCATCTTCATCTTGGTCACTTTCTCTCTCTTTGTCCATGCTCTCAATATATTTGTCCACTCACGCATCCGATTTTCATATTCACATATCTTTGTGCAATCTCTCTCCCTTTGTCAACAATTTCCACAAAGGATGCATCACTTTGATCGATGAAACTTATCGGAAGGTGGTTTGAGGTGAGATGGACACCATGAGTTAGCACTTGTTGTAAGTCACAATGAATACCACTTGGAGGGATGACCTTGACTATTACTTGAGATCAATGAGTGACACAACTTAAACTTGGGGCACCACTTAAAGTTGAGCATCACTTGTGGATACCACCTTGAGATGATCTAGATACCACATATGAAAGCACAGAAGTCTAGATACCAATTAATATGTGTGGATACCACTTGAAAAAAAGGAATTATTGTCTTATTCTTGAACTAGATTGTTATCATGAGCTTTCTTCGCAAGGGCTTGCTCTAATTAAATTGCATAAGCTTCAAGTCATGGTTTGAACCCTCTCTAAGCTTCTCCACACACCATAAACAGTTATCTTATTAAGGTTCTACTTATCACTTGCATTGCCATCCAACTTGATAAAGTACTTAGGTTCACTAGCTCATGAACAATTCTAAACATTGTGCTAGAACTTAAAATAATTCATTTGTAATGCATGTCCTTAACACAAAATGTGTGCTATATGCACTAACTACATACTAGTTAGGGATGTATGAACATGCACATTACAATGATACCTTTCTTAGAGAAGAGTAGTCAATGAAACCCAGTACATTTCAACAAAAGCCAATAGTGAAGTCGATTGCACATGCTTCATGAAGATGATATCTATATCTATATCTAGATCTAGATCTAGATCTACATATCTTATAATCCTAAACCCCAGTAGACATTATATCTCAACATGCAAGCAGTCTACCTCAGCAGTCCACTATCACATGCATTTAATTGTCGTCATTAGTATGCCACATCATCCACTACCATTAAATTATAATAGTTTAATCATTTATATAAATAATTTAATCTAGTTTCATTCGAATTCATCCGTAATTCCCGTATCAACGCATGGGGACTTCTAGTTCACCAAAGAATCCCAATTACTTCACCAATATGACATTCAATTTACTTAAGATGAAGTGCCAATTTCTCGTTGTGGCTGGCTTGCTACTAAAGTACACTTGTATCTAACCGGTTTATTTCTTGGGGTTGCTCTTCCACTTCATATACCACTTGTATACTATATGTGTAGCTTAGCATGAAGGTCTTTCAGTTTTCCAATTGATTCCAACTTCCTATAGTTAATTTCAACTGGTTGCAACTGATTTCAACTAGTTCAAACCGGTTGCAACTCCTTGTAGCTAATTTCTAAGTTGTCTGCAACTAATTTCATCCGCTTTCAATTGATTCATGCTACTTGCATCCACTCTTCTTTGCTCAAATGTGTCCTTAATATGATGCGCTCATTAATCTTGAACACTTTTAGATGAATGACACTTGTAATAACACCAGGAACTTGCAATAGCTTGATTCTTGACTTAAAGTTGAAGGTGGAGCAATGGTGAAAGGATCACAATGCCTAGAGGTGAGGTGAATAGAAACTTAAAACTTTTGCAGCGAATCAAATCCTAGGTACAGGAAATTCCAGTCCTAATCAGAAATTATGGTCTTGTCCAAAATTTCTAGTAAGGAACGAATTTCTGGGCCCTGATGAAAGGAGAGCTAACTAGGGTTATGAAATTCAACTTAACCAAATTTAAATTTGTTTTTACCACACACGTAGATGGGTGATATGTAGTGAGTCCAAAGCTGCGCTTGCTCCATTGCCTACACACAAAGTAGATCGGGCCGCCGCAACAAATAATACAAGAAATATAATCTCAAGAACACAAGCACATGGGGGATACAAGATTTATCTGAGGTTCGTCCACACAAATCATAGCCTAGGCCATAGACACAAACAAATCATTTTTTGTAGCAATGTTTTATTGAGCAAGTAAGATTTAGTTCATTTTTAGAGCAATTTTTTTACTTCATTTTTTAGGGAGCAAATTTTAGTGCTATGTGTTTGTCTTGTCCAGTCGGATTTCAGGGGACCCGACGAGTTCGGGTTCAGGTCGGGGTTTACACCCTAAAGGTAGTTTGGGGTCGGGTCGGGTTTGAGTTTCAGGTTTCGAGTTTGGGTGTGCGGGCGCTCCACCCGGCCCTGTCCCGCCCTGTTGCCATTCCTAGACTAAAAAGACTCCTGTGGTTGTGGCCTGCGAGGTTTCCGCCCTCTCTTCTTAATCTGATCAACAAGAATCTTCATTAGTCGTTGGGTTCATGCCTCATCTCCTTGTTGAAACTCTTCTTGGTGACCACCTCAATCATCTTCATGATATAAGGAGCATATGGGTGCAGGACTTCCTGGGATCCAAAGAGGTGGTCTTGATCTCCCTATACAGAAAGTCAAAAGCACTGAAGGACCGCTCATCATCATCATCCTTGAGAGCCAACAACAAAAGACAGATCGATGATAGAATAGAAGAGGCATCACTAATCTTGGGTGTCAGAGTAGCACGAACCAAGAGATTGACCTATCTGTAATACTTCTGCATGTTGGTGGTAGTGCAAATATCTGAAGCTGAGGCAGCACGAGTGTATGCAAAAGAAAGATCAATGACCCCTGTCTCATACCCACCATGCAAACCGGGCTTGTCCAAATCATCAAAATTAAAACCAAGAATATAGCTAAGTGAGCATAGGACACATAATAGGGATGTCCCTTAATCTGAAAATGCATGATCTCATACTTCTCATCTGTGGGGTGCTCATACCAAACATTGGCATAGAGCAATAACTTCATTATTCCAATCATATGACATGGTCACCAAGGATTTGAAGTTATACCTTTCCAAAGTGTCGAGAGCACAATCAAACTCCGGATCCTTCACATTCACACAATGTGTCCAATGAAATCAACTCATCTGCTGCAGCACTGGAGTGGACTTCTTGAAGATGACAAAGTTACAGTAGTCAAGCTGAAACACACTCGTAAAAAAAGAAGCACGAGCAATTCAACAATGCCTATGTCTCTTATTATACTTTTGGTTCAAAATAAAAAATGCATTAAATATATTCAAATATGCTTTGTTGCTAATCTAATATAAAACAAATAATCTTAGAAGCATTGGTTTGCATGCTGCCACAAAATGCTGGAGATACGCTAGGTCATTTTCTCAAGTGTCATATTTTAGAATGATCATGTTTATAGCCATCAATAAAAAAAATCAAGTATGATCATATAAAATAGACAAATACTAGCATATATGAGTATGGAACCGATGAAAAACACGGAACAAAAATTGCCCAATAAACATTACATTTGTCATGACTAGTGTCCCCCAACTTCCTTTTAGCTACCCGTAATACGGCCCTGTTTGGATTGCAGCTGCTAAATTTTAGTCAGCTAAACTAGCTGCTAAACTTTAGTTACCCTGTTTGGTTTGGTGGACTAAAAGAGACTAAAAGAGGCATTTTAGTCCCTTTTAGCAGGGTGTTTGGTTACAAAGTGACTAAAAGGTGAGACAACCTGACTTTTAGTCCCATTTAGCAACTCATTGGTGACTAATTGGCTAAATGTTCATTTAGTCTCATTTAGTCATAGTGTTTGATAAAAAGTGACTAAATAGGACTAAAATTAGCCAACTAAACTTTAGCAGCCCAAACCAAACACCCCTAAGATTCATCCACAATTGTTGAAAATGAGTCATGCACGATTGCAGTCCAAAAACAAAAAATAGAGGCGATGAAACCCATACAGCCTCCATCCTCACCTTTGGTGCTCAAGCAAACAAACAAATAAATAAATCTAATCTAATGCAATGTAACTGATTGCACCGGCAAAAGAAACCGAAACTTAAGGGGTGTTCGATTTGGCTATTAAAATTTAGGAGATGTGTCGGGAGGATATTGCATGAGGTGTTTGAATATTAATAAAAAAATAAATTACATAATCCATCAGTACTCCACGAGGTGATTTTTTAAGCCTAATTAATCCATCATTAGCACATGTTTACTGTAACAAAACATTGTCAAATCATGGACTAATTAGGCTCAAAAGATTCGTCTCACAAATTAGTTTCATAATTAGTTTATATTTAATACTACATGCATATATCAGATATCTGATGGAACAACGACTAAAATTCAGGAGAAACAACCAAACACCCCCTTACATTCACACACCACCTCCAGAAATAGAAAGCCTGTCTTTTTAAAACCATACCATTCCCATGCCAGTGCTGCACCGCACCCACCATTTAATGCGCAAAATCCAGCAGCCATACTCTGACCCACCACCCCCCGGCGTGCCCCTAGCAATTTGGGTTCGGGCGTTTCCCGTGCCCCGAACGCCGCACCTGATAAAACCACCAGTGCCCCTAGTCCCAAACCTTTTTCCCCCCCTCTGCACGCCCCTCTCCTCTCCTTCTCCCTACTCCCTCCCCCACCCCTAGCCCCCCCGCCCGTCAAAGCGAGAGCGCCGTATCACTGGTCTTTCCCTTCACCGCCGCCTCGATCCGCGCCCAAAGATACCTTTCCGCCTTCCTCGCGCCGCCGCCAGCCGTTTTGCTGCGACCATGGCGGCGGAGGGGGAGGGCAAGAACCCGGCGGGCGGCGGCGGAGGGGATAACCCCCAGCACCAGCAGGCAGTGCAGGCTGCGCCGGCGCCGGCGCCGCCGGCGGCACAGGGGGAAGCGGCGCAGGAGGCTGGAGGGCAGGGGACGGGACTAGAGCCGGAGGGGGAGAAGGCGGATCGAGGCGGGGAGGGCGGCGGCGCGGGGGAGAAGGACGACGCCGCGTGCAGAGATCTGGTCCTCATCGAGGATCCGGAGGTGGTCGCCGTCGAGGATCCGGAGGAAGGTACGGCGCCCGTTCTCGCAGACTCTCCCAGTCTCTCTCTCCGGCCATGGCTCTAGTAGTACTAGTTGCCCCTGTTGGTGCTAGTGTCTCAGCTGTCAGATGCATGGATACAGTAGTGCTACTTCGTCGACGTCTTTTACCTTCTGAACAGAACAGGTGCCCAGAAACAGAATAAAAAATTGAAGAAAATACTGCCACCGTCCCTAAATGTTTGTCGCTTCACCAGAAACAACTTTGACTAAATATATATTAAAAAATATTAATATTTATGATACATAATTAGTATCATTGATAGATATTTGAATCTATTTTTTTAATAAATTTATTTAGAGATAGAAATGTTGCACGTATTTTCGATAAATCGAGTTAAAGTTATCGGCATGCAAATCATGGCGACTAACATTTAGGGACGGAGGGAGTATTTGTTTTGGGAGTTGGTTGGTAACTTTACTTGCCAGTTAATTGTACTTGGGCAGCGGTTTTATTTCTGCCTGTAAAGTAGATTTTGTTTGTTCACTGTATCCATTGTTCTTTTTAAACATTGAGGAACACCTTTTTGAGGGTTTTTTTTTTCGTTTGCTCGATTCGTGTTCTAGTAATAACTTTGTTCTGTTGCATGAGAATACATGCAAAGGATCAGAGATTGAGTTCAGTTATTGCTTTTGTACTGATCTGTTAACTCTTATAGTTACTCAAAGAGTTGAAGGCTTCAGAAAAGTATGGTTTGTTTTATTCTATAAGTCCTTTATCACGATCGTTTGACTTGTAGTCATGCGATAAACAGAAGGCCTTCCTTCCTTTCACCTCTTTGTTGTTATGCTACTTTTCCTGATACAGTGAACATGAAATTGAAGCTTATTTGAAGTTATATGTATGCAGCCTTTTTGTTCTGCCTGATTTTTGTGTTCTCTGTGTTGAATTAAGTACTCGTGCATGCATCTATGAATTGAGGTTTTTTATATTTAGTTGGCCTGTGGCTGAGCGCCTCTGAGATTTTTTTTCTGGTTACAGCTGCAGCAACCGCAGCACTTCAGGAAGAAATGAAAACGCTTGTGGCATCGATCCCTGATGGTGCTGGGGCAGCATTCACAGCCATGCAGCTTCAGGAGCTAGAGCAGCAGTCCCGGGTGTATCAGTACATGGCTGCTCGAGTACCTGTGCCTACTCACCTCGTCTTCCCCGTATGGAAGAGTGTAACTGGTGCATCCTCTGAAGGCGCACAGAAGTACCCTACTCGTATGTTTCAAACATGTCTCATCATCTGTGTGCTCTTATGAAATTCTGTTAAATTTTGGTAGACTTTGCCAAGTTGTTCACTAGATATTCATGATAGCGATTTGTAGGACGGTACGATAAATAAATTTATTAATCTCATCTGAAATTGTTCTTTTTATATAGGTTAAGTTTGTCATATTTTTAGCAAAGCAATGTTAAGATGAAGTGCAATTTGATGCACATGTTACCAAGGGTGATGAAGGAACCTTGTTGAGTTAGGCTTGGAGCATCAGCATCTTATTAAATGCATAAAGTTGAGATTCTTTATATATGGGCTATTGGAGGCATTCTAACCGTTCTTGATAACTTGATTGTACAGTGATGGGCTTAGCAACACTGTGTTTGGACTTTGGGAAGAACCCAGAACCAGAACCAGGGAGGTGTCGGCGAACAGATGGTAAAAAATGGCGATGTTGGAGAAGCACTATCCCAAATGAGAAATACTGTGAACGTCATATGCATCGTGGTCGCAAGCGTCCTGTACAGGTTGTCGTTGAGGACGATGAGCCTGATTCTGCTTCAGGGTCAAAATCCGCTCCTGGCAAGGCTACCGAAGGTGCCAAGAAGGCTGATGACAAGAGCCCTAGTAGCAAGAAGCTTGCAGTGGCAGCACCAGCTGCTGTGCAGTCTACATAATTGATGCAGCATTAGTAGTCGCAGAAAGAGCATAACAGCGCTGGCAATTAGCGCCTTCTTATTGCATGTAATCCCCAAAAGACTGTAGTGTGGTCTTAGCTATAACCTCATTAAGCACTCCCAGTGTCTGGGGGAGGAAGCCGCAAGAACTTCCCCTTAGCTGTCAACTGAAAATTTCACTCTTAGGTGTATAGTTTGATTTAGCTTTGTCGTGCCTCCGGCCTTCAGGTAGGCGATGCGGCATGATCTTATAAATCCTCCCTGAACTGACAATATCGCATTGTGACCCAAGAAGCCGGTGTAAGAACTTGTGAAACTGCATTGATATGCTTTTTGATGTCCACCTTTATTGGCATGTGCGCAATTGCGTGATTCATAAGTTGTATAACAAAGTTGAAGATCCATAATTTTATGCCTTGTGGAGATTCAGTTAATCAGCTACCTCCTGAATGTGCAGTGATTATGTCATTCTTCTGATGGTAGTAGGCCAAAAATGCGTGGCGGATTGGATGTCAAGAGTCAAGATCAACCCAGAACAGTTCGGGTTTCAGTTTTGCTTGTTTATTTAGACGGGGATTTGCAGCGAGATTCTGTCGTGGCGTAGCTCATTTTCGTGTCGGCAACGGGTTAAATGTGCCTAATGTGGGAAGTCGTACAATATTAATTAATGTATTGATGGAGAGTTTTTCTGTACCTGGTACTTCGCCCTTTATTGAGATGGGGACGCCTGATTCCAAAATCAATTTTTTTGAAGAATCGATTCCAAAATCAGTTGTCCTTGCAAGGGTATAACGTAACAACAAATCGGTTTAGACAGAGAGTTCTGCAAGCAAGAAATACGCAACAATTGTATTTCCCAGGCCTCGTTGCAACCGTTCAGCCTCGCTCCAGTTTCGCATCGATAGGAGCTGTGTACCCAGCCTCAACTTAAAAAGGGCTCATGCGAGATGTATGATTTTTACCTGAATTTAATAGGAGTTCAACTCTCATCAAATGGCTCATGCGAGATGTATGGTTTTTACCTGAATTTCGTAGGAGTTCAACTCTCAGCAAATTTTCTCAGCTCATGTTCTGGGTAGCCCCAGCTAATGTCTCCCAGCATAACGAATACGTTCTAGAATAGCCCCCAGAGGATTTCGTCACATATACAACTTATATCAGCATAAGATGCATCACTCTAGAACACGCAAGCCATGCCTGCAGTGTATGTAATGGATATCAACGCTGCCAGCATCCGACAATGCATATCTTGTTATATACTTCTCAAGACAAGGAAACAACTTTCGACTTGGGAATTTACATCGCACAATGCAATACACTGATGAAGTTGATAGTTCTCTCTACAGAAAACAAAACAAGAACGGAAAACGTAAGTGTTTTCTGGGTCTATTTTCTTTACAATTGCTGCAGCACCCTCCCCCCTCCTCAGATGGTTGTAGTAGTCAGGTAGTTGACACAGGAAACCAAATTAGTAGCAACTGTTCATATATAATACACCTGAAAGGAAACTAGTGTTATGGGTTTGATCCTGGGCTTGGACCTCATGCGCTCAAAATATCTCGTCCTCTGCTTGGAGCTTTTGAAGTGCTTTCTTTGCATAAATAGTGATCGCAGCAGTGGAAGCTGCAGCAATTGTAAAGCCGATTCCATTGTAGATAATCTGATCCAACGACAAGAAGGACCCATGGCTAGTTGCTACAGCCAAGCTTTGTAGAAGTTTCCCACTGTTTGCAAAAATTGGCATTAGTTTCTCCTGACCGATGCAAGATAAAGTGAATATAATCTTACAGCAGCTCAGACATAATGTTTGAATTATAGAGTTTATGCTCAACTGCTCACATGAAAATAGTACGTATAGGATGCACATCATCACTCAAGTTTCATGCATGTAAGTTTCAAATTAAGAAAGATATATAAGGGCAGCAACTCAACAAAACCAATGTATCCTGACTTGTCAAACTGCATTAATGAATATAGGTGACTAGAAAAACCAGCTATCACAAAGAGTAAATCAGATATAACACGCTAAAGGTTTCATCCAAAGTGTTGTATATTTATTTAATAGCACAAATTCACCACAATGAGTATCAGGCATGATCAGGGAGCAGAAAAAAAAAAGATCAAAAGAACAGAAGACATGAGGTAAGTACAAACCTGTATATTGCAAGAAAAGTTTCATGTATGGTTCCAGCCATAGAACCCGCTATGTATGGGTAATATTTGACATTCGTAGCCACAGAAGCATAGTTAAAAACTATATATGGAAATGGAGAAATCCTTAGTAATGCAACAGCCTTAAATTGATGATGCCAATCTCCTTCGCCAGCAAGCCTTACAAAAGCTGCTTTCTTTGGCCACTTCTCCAACCATCTCTGCAGAACCAATAACAACCATATTTTCAAAACTAAGTAATTTGCTAATCTGTTTCCTACTCTATTTGGATAAAACATAAGAAAAACGACAGTAATTGACTCACATGTATCCTACAGTGGAATGCAGAGCCTATAAAATACGGCAATGACATGCCTATGCTCATCCCCACTGTGATTATCAAAAAGCCATAAAGATACCCAAAAGTCATCCCCGCAAGCCACATGAAGGGCGAAGAAGGTAACAAAACACTTGGGAATAAGGCGATTGCGCCAAAACATATTAGAGCCATAGCTGGTCTGCTGAAAGTTGTTGATTCCCAGTAAAGAATAGGTGCAACAACCTGCAATGACAACATGGAAATCAAGGTCAGCAAGAAACTAAGAACGCAATCCAGGGATATCTGGGGCATCAAAAGTTATTAAAGAAAGCCAACACGTCTATTCAAGTGGACTATAAGGTGGTCACACTAAATTGGTGCCGATAAATAGATGATGCAGCCAGCTTATTCACTCAATTCAACAGAATGGAACTGTAAGCTCTCTGATCAGCTGAAATGAAGATGTCAGCATAACACGAATGATCATCAACTTCCCGGGAGAACTCTCACATATAATTTACTTTGATGTGACGCAAACAAGTAGCGTCCACAGGCACATGACCTCTAATTACAGCTGCTCCTTGCACGTGCTATTGACTTTATTGTACATAAGTGTCTGATCTGACTTAATATTGTAAACCTTTGGAAGGGATAATAAAGTTTAGTTAGTAATTGTAGGTAGAGCTGTAAACATTAATTTGAAAACAATTTCAATCCTTTTTATAACCAGAAATATCACAACTAATAGCATTACCAGTCCATTCCAGTCAATTTACGTTGCAGTGCAAGCACAGATGGAGCATCAGTTCATATCTTAGATATAAAGGCCAATCACAGGCAACATTAACAGAATGTTATGGCTCATTGGGGCAAGATTTTTTGTTTTCCAAGAGTCATAGCACACTATGACAATTTCAAGTCTACTCTACAAATTCACATGACACCCTCATCCAATGTAGACACCAAAAAAAAATTGACTTCCAAAGAGATCAATTAATATTCTGTGTCATAATATATTAAAATCCTTGAACACTACAATAAAATAAGCTAGCAAAGTGTAATTTATCACCAACTACATCAACATCCAACGAAAACATATTGCCAAAAAAGACTTGTGGAGTATTCCTCCTTAAGTTAACTATGATAACAGGAGAATGGACAGAAAATGGAAAACTATTTCTACCAACTCTGGGGAATAGCTTTCACAACAGAGTTTGCTTCCAAGGAAGACCACTCAAGTGGGTCCAGAGTCAGAACGGTAGCACAAGCTGTACTTGTTCCAGGTATCACTTCCATGTGAAGTTGCTTGTTGCGAATACGATTTTCTCAACCAAAGTGGGTTTGTTTAATTAAGAAGGCCACCAAAAAAAATTGTAGCCATGATGCCCGTCACAATAAGGTTCACTGGAAATCTGTACCGCATCTTATAACATCCAAAAAATCAAGAACCAATTGGTTTGTGAGACTATTCCTACCTATCCACCTTTTGGTGAAAGCACATACACTACTGGAGGTCCAGAGCACCATGCCTGCAGACCCCACATATTGGGCCACTAAATACCAGTGAGAGGCATTGGCTGATGTCAAAACTTCAAGAATTGGAATAGCATTTCTCCTTCTCCTGTATTGCAGATGGGAATAATGCTAAATGTGTTCTTTGAACAACGACATCCTATACGGTCCCAGTAATCTTTAAAACTGATATCTCAACGAAATCTATTGGTATTCTATTCTAAGCTCTGCTTCAGATTGAGATCCTAAAACTCTTGACAACCTCATCCTTTTGCTGGTAATATTGGCAAAATGAAAATTAGTCATGTCACCTGTTCTCACAAGCTAGCCACAAAAAAACATATAACAACACAAACCAAGAAAGGAAAAATGTTTCTACCACAAACAAACAAAAATATAAACAAATATCCAAGTATTCCTGCACAAATCGAAACCGCATCGCAACCGACGATTCGACGGACACAGCAGGAGCAGAACTTAGAAGTGATAGGAAAGATCTCCCGTTCGCGAGCAATTTCCGCACGATCCGTGATGCAAGCAATCCCCTTCAAAGGAGGCGGCGGCGGAGGGGAGGGAGGAGGGACGGGGCGAGAACACGCACCTTCTTGATAAGGAGCGGGCCGAGGAAGACGACCGCAGCAGCTCCGGCCCCAGCAAGGACGATCCCGAGCACGACGACCTTGGCCCACCACCGGATCGCGCGGCACCGCAGCACCCTCGGGCACTCCGCCGCCGCGGCCGCCTTGACGGCCGCCGCGGCATCCCCCTCCCCCTTGGACGCCACCTCCACCTCCTCCGGGATCCTCACGTACTCGCCGCGTCTGCCATTGGCGGACCCGGGCGAACCCATCGACCGTGGGGACCCGATCAGGCTAGCATCCGCGGGGGGGCGCTGCCCCGGATCGTGCTGGTGAGGAGCCGCCGGATCGGCCGGGACCCGAGCGGAATTGGGCTCGGGTTGGGCGGGTTCCGGCGAGCTCGGCGTGATTGAGGGCTAGGGTTTGTGCCCGGGAGGCCGGAGGCGTTTATGAGAAGCGGCAGGTGGAGGAGAGAGGCAACGGCATTGGAGCGGACTCGGAGAGAGAGAAAGAGGAGAGGGGGAGGAGAGGAGGGAGTACGTACTAATTTCTCCGAGTAGATTTTTTTGGGTGGAAAAAATTGCGGAAATGGGTGAGGATAATGTGAATGACGTTTTTGCCCTCCAGTAGCTGTATACACACGTATTTGTATGCTGTGCAGAATGTTGTTCTCCAATGATCAGGTGTAATCGTGTAGGAGCAGAATGCATGCCTGATTCATATCATTATTAGTGTCATAATGTATAAGTTTTTTTATTTGCGAAAACTCTTTGTAGTAGCAAATACTCCATTCATTTTAAATTGTAAGTCATTTTTGTTTTCTATGTATACAGTAAAAATTACATCTAGGTGCACATAGCAAAAAAAAAAGTTATGTATGTATAAGAGCCAAAATGACTTACAATTTAGAATAGATGTGCACAATATAATGTTTTGCGAAAATACTCATGTTTTAAGTACTTATTAGACATGCCATTGCAAAAAGAAGTATTCTGTTACGTATTATCTTTGTGTTTTAAAATTGCAATTTAGATTTGTTTATATTCTTTGTGTTCTATAGTGGGTTAGGATTAACCAGATTGAAAACTATCGACACAATATCGTTGATAGTCCTCCGAAAGGTATCCCACGAAAATAGATTGATCGGCAGAGATGCGTGTAATCGAGAACAAGAAGACAATAGAGACACAAGAGTTAGACATGTTCGGGCCGTCAGCGCGACGTAATACCCTACTCCTATGGTCTGTTGGGTTGTATTAGCTATGATATGATATTGCGTGTGTTTTGAGGGGGTCCTTGCCCGTCTTATATAGTCTAGGGGGCAGGGTTACAAGTCGGTTAGATCTAGGAGATAACCGGAAAATAATAACAGATTACATAAATCATAGGATCGAACGTATCTGAAAGGTCCTTGTGTGGTTTTGGTAATTTAGTGACAACCTAGGTGGACTAATTGTGTTTATGTGAGATACACAGGTGATTAGTCCACAGGTACACATGTGTGAGCAACATATGCCATGAAGGTGAAAATGGCTTGGAGATGTTGCAAAGCTCACACATGTAATGATGAAAAAGCTTATTGCACATGAGACATGACATTGAGTCATGTAATCAAGGTGGAGAAGATCAAGACAAGACTTGGCTTGATGGACCGGTTGCAAGCGTGAAGGGCAAGTCGGAGGCTTTGGAGCGATGGACCGCGTGGCGGTGAAGCTTGAGCAAGACTTGGCGCCGATAGACGAAGGCAACGATGGAAAGCAAGTGAAGTCAAGATTGATGAACCAATATGATCACATAATGATATGAAGTGGATCATATCATTGTTGATCATGTTGGTGCATGTGTTGCATCGATATTGGAGGAGATGGAATGAAATACGTAAGGCAAATGTATAACCTAGGGCATTTCATTTCACCGGTCATAGGTGTGTAGAGAAGTTGATGACCGGGTTTAGGATAGATGACCATACTATCAAGAGGGGCAAACTTGTTTGCATATCGGTCATCTAGTGCCACTCGAGTGATCTAACTTTGCATCATCGCAAGCATCGAGTGGTGTGGCAAGTTGAGTGACTAATCCTTTGGAAAATATTTGTGAAAAGCTAACACACATACACATGGTGGTGCACACTTGGTGGTGTTGGCACAATTGCAAAGGAGAAGAAGTTAGAGTTGTTGTGAATCAACTTAAAGAAAAGAAAAAGGTTTTTTGGTGTACTCTGAACTATAGGATGCTCCTTGGATTGGAATACTATTTTGATCTATTGTGATTTGGATCAAGTATACATGTGGGATGTGTAGCCCTATGAGTAAGCTTTCTAAAATGTCTAAGATCATCGAAATCGGAGTTCAGAGCTAAGAGTTATAGCCGTTTTCACGTTAAAAGGTCTGTGACCGGACGCTGGCGTGAAAAACGACCGGACGCTCAGGGTCTGCGTTCGGTCAGCACCTGCGAATCCGGTCACAGCGTCCGGTCAGTGTTTTTAGCGTGTCCAGAAGTGACCGGACGCTGGGAGAGTCCGTTCAGTGATGACCGAACGCGTCCGGTCGCTGAAAAACGTCACTGGAACCTCTCTGTAAGTGACCGGACGCTGGGTTGTTATGACCTGTGCGTCCGGTCAGTACGCGCTTTGCCCAGTGAAGGGGTAACGGCTATTTTAGCCCTTAGGGCTATAAAAGGAGTGTGTGGCTGGCCTTGGGCTGGTTGCTCAGCACCCTCACACCTATGTGGCTTTGTGTAGGAGTGCTTGGATGCCCTCTAACTCACTTGTGCTTGCAAGAGTGCGAATTGATTGTGAGTGAGTATGATTCTAGTGCGTTACATTATGAGATTGCATCGAGTGACACTAGGTGATCGAGTTGCAAGCCGGTGGTGCTTGTTACTCTTGGAGGTTGCCACCTCCTAGATGGCTTGATGGTGGTCTCCGTCGAAGCCCGCAAGAAGCTTGTGCGGTGCTCCAGAGAAGAGCTTTGTGAGGGGCATTGTGCTCGCCCCGCGGGAGCCATGAAGAGCAACTCTAGTTGAGCATGTCATTGAGCTACCCTCACTTTCAGAGTAGGTTCTTACGGTGCTCGACGTGCGGGCTTGACGGGTGATGCCAATTAGCCGCCGAATCTCCAAGTGAGCGGTCGACACAACGGGGACGTAGCGTGTTGGCAAGCACGTGAACATCGAGAGAAAATCACCATGTCAACCTTGTTCTTCCCGTTGGTTTGCAATCCCCTTACACAAGCTTGTAATTACTTTTATATACATTGTGCTTATGGAGTTGCTCTTGTAATTAGTTAGCTTGTGTAGCTCACTAGTTACCTTCTTACTTGTGTAGCATAGAAGTATCTCCTTTGCGTGGCTAATTTGGTTTGTGTAACCTTGTTAGTCACTTTGCTTAGTTTGTGTAGCTAAGTATTTGCGCTCTCTAATTTAGCATTGGTTGCCTTGTTATTGAGCATTGCTAGTGAGCTTAATTGGCTTTGGGCTTTTGCTTATTAGCATGTGTAAGAGCTCCCTCTTTACTTGAAATACTAGTGGTATAGGTTTGTGTGACCTTGCTCCTAGACTTGGTTAGGTGAGCTCTTGCTAGCCCGACACCTTTGTTACTTAATTAGGATCTTTGCAAGGTGCTAGAGAACATAGATAGAGCGGTGTAGTCTTGGCTAAACCGATAGTTTTAATTCCACACTTGTTTCGGTTAGCCGACGCGATTAAGTTTTAGAAACAACTATTCACCCCCGCCTCTAGACGCCATCTCGACCCTACAAGTGGTATCAGAGCTAGGTCTCTTATTTGTGGTCTTTACCGACCCGAGAGGATGGTGAACTTTGGGCTAGAAGTTGTTTGTGACTCACACATTTTTTATGGCACACACTATGCATAGTGGAAACGTCATATGCTTGATCATTTCCGTGAATTAGGTCCTAAGGCATGGTGGATCATTGTTGTTGGTTTTTTGCATGATGCTTTGGATAAGGACAACCTAACCCAAGCGCAAGAAAATTGCTTACAACTTGATCATCGTGCTCTTTATTATCTAATGTGTGCTTTACATGATGATGTTTTTAGACGTGTGTGGGACTTGAAAAGTGCTCATAATATGTGGATGGCACTCCAAGCTGAAGGGTCGAGATGGCGGACTAGAGGGGGGGTGAATAGTCTTTTCTAAAATTAATCGCGTCGGCTAACCGATATAAATGCGGAATTAAAACAATCGGTCTAGCCAAGACTACACCCCTCTATATATGTTCACTAGCACCTTGCAAAGATACTAATAAAGCAACTAAGGTGCCGGGCTAGCTAGAGCTCTCCTAAACAATTCTAGGAGCAATGTCACACAAACCTATGCCACTAGTACTTTAAGTAACAAGGGAGCTCCTACACATGCTAGTAAGCAAAAGCACAAAGCTAACTAAGCTCACTAGCAATGCTCAATAACAAGGCAACCAATGCCTAATTAGAGAGCGCAAATACTTAGCTACACAAACTAAGCAATGTGACTAACAAGGTTACTAAAACCAAATTAGCCACGCAAGGGAGCTACTTCTAAGCTACACAAGCAAGAAGGTAATTAGCTAGCTACACAAGCTATCTAATTACAAGAACAACTACACAAGCTTAAGATATATATATATATAAGTAATTGCGAGCTTGTGTAATGGGGATGTAAACCAACGGGAAGAACAAGGTTGACACGATGATTTTTCTCCCGAGGTTCACGTGTTTGCCAACACGCTTAGTCCCCTGCTGTGTCGACCGCCACTTGGTGGTTCGATGGCTAATTAGCATCACCCGCTAAGCCCGCACGTCGGGCACCGCAAGAACCTACCCCTTGAGTGAGGGTAGCTCAATGACACGCTTTACTAGAGTTGCTCTTCATGACTCCCGCTGGGTGAGCACAATGCCCCTCACAAGCACTTCTCCTGAGCGCCAGACAAGCTTCTTGCGGCTTCGACGGAGACCACCACTGCCGCCTAGGAGGTGGCAACCTCCAAGAGTAACAAGCACCACCGCTCAAGAACTCGATCACCTAGTGCCACTCGATGCAACCTCAAGATGCAATCGCACTAGAATCGCCACTCACACAATCGAATGATCACTATCAAGTATATGTGTGATGGAGGGCTCCCAAGCACTCACAAGCATGGACACTAAGTCCCTTGAGGTGCTCAAGACCACCATGGCCGAGGGCCACTTCTATTTATAGCCCCAAGGGCTAAACTAGCCGTTACCCCTTCACTCGGCAACGGTCGGGACGACCGGACGCTCGGTCGATCGATCG